GCCAGCCTACTAGTGATGTACTTTTCCATCATGAATTGGTTTGGTCCTCAGAAAAAAAACACAGCCTGTTATCAGGACCACACTCAAAGTCTTTCCAGCTTAGTAGAACTTGCCAGAGAGCGTACTCTGATGGCATAATCTTTAGAAACCCTGGGCTAACTCCATGAGTAGGCATCAGAATAGGGTTTTGTAGATAGAGGAAAGCTCCAAGCTCCAATGTATACCAAAACATCCAATCAGTACTTTTTGTCATAGCAGAAAAGGGAAACACCAACACATTCTATTCTATGCTACAAGAAGCTCAAAACAGGGATGTGACCTGAATATTAAATAAAGGTCATAGGAACAGGGATTTAAGTGGCACAGAGAATTTTCTAATGAGGAAACTTGCTCTACCAATGCAGGTCAGCACCTTCTTGACAATTTAGTCTTCAAGAGGTGACTAGAGCACTAAGAGGGTCAGTGACTTGCCCAGGATTACACAGCCAAGTATGTGTCAAAGGCAGAACATAAACCCAGGTCGTTCTGGTTGTAAGGTTGTAAGTTCTCTATCTATTACGTCACACTATCCTCTCTAAAAAAGTTAGACGACAACCAATTCAGCTCTGTCAAGGGACAGCCAAGCAAGGGATTACAGTTCTTCCGACAGCTATTTGCTTATGTCCTTTGACCACTTATACACTGGGGAATGACTTCTGATCTCATATATTTCTATTAGTTCCCTATATATCCTAAACCACATCCTTGTTATAAATAGTCGCTACAAAGATCAACCACTTTCTTTCTTACTCTAGTTGTATTAATTTTTTTTCTTACAAAAGGCTTTCAATTTCATGTTATCAGAATTATCAATTTTCTCTTTTATGACTGCCTCCAACCCTTGTTTGGCTATCCCCATAAACAGAAGTAAATACCTACATTCCATAAGTTAGAGCTGAGTATGTCTAAATGCTTATAATCTTGTCCTAACATTACACTGATGTTCTTTGCTTCCTTTCCCATCCATTTCTACATACTGTCCATTTATTTTTGCTCATTCTTAATATATACCTGGCTTACCTCCTTTTCTGCGTCATACACGTGTCTTTTGCATCGCTTCTCATGTGCTGCAGGCGGCTTACATCTACCAGCTGTCTGTAACCGTGATTCTCTCGAGATCAAGGTATTCTTCTATTCGTAGCCAAATTGTATCACCAGGAAAATATTGGTGTTAATGAAAAGATGGACTTTTGAGGCATGGTGGGAGCACTGAAAGTGCTGTATGCATAGTCAAATTCAATTCAGCCTAATCTCCACCTGGTGCCAATTCTGGATTCAGCTCACTATCCACCTGCAGTGTTGGCCCAGGATGCGTATATTGTTAAAAGAACAACAGGTTGTCCATCCAACTGTATGTTATAGTCCAGGTAAATGATATTTACATAATCCTTAAAAAGTCTCCTTGGTTGGCTTCTGTGACATGGTACTGTCTTTTTCTATTTGTTTTAAAGTCTTTATCCACTTGGCATCTTAGTGACGAGGCCCCAAACGGTTTTGGCATTCAATACAACCAGCATAATGTCATTCATAAATAGAAACATTTAGAAAATCTCCCCATCAAATATCTCTTTTATTTATAGTCCATCAAAGGCCATCTTCCATGACACTGGCAAAGGCTTTTGGTGAACATAGGACTTGTATCTACTGAGTGTCAATATCAAATAAAATTTAAAAACACAGAACAGCATTTGACACACAGTCTTATGGAATATTATTGGATCAATAAGGGCATCACCTTGTTCCACCATCTTTTCCATTCTTTTAGCATCTTTCCTTTTTTAGGTTTCTTGAATCAATTGCTGAATATTTTTTAAATGGAATCAGCTCCAGCCCAGATCTTTTTGTATGAATTAGCCTAGCTCCGGCTCTTGTTAACCCTTTTTACCAGTGCTCACACATTGTATCTAGTCCTGTGATGGCAGAGTCCAAATCCAGGCAGTCCACCAGCACTGTTATCTGCTGACCCCACCCCCTCCAGCTTCATCTACAAATGTTCTCAGGTAATTTGGCTTAGCTGAGTCATAAGACTGGAGCTATTTCCCCAAATGAGGAAAAGGGAATATCACAAATTTGACAGAAAACAGCAGAAAGCCCTAGAAAAGACTTCCCATACCAGCACATGTTGCATTTTTGTGGGGCTTTTTTTTTTCCCAGATGGCTTGCTAACAATCAAATTCTGATCCTTTCAAAAGAAAATGACAACCTCACAGATATGTTGTACCAAAGTAAGACAGAAACAAAACAAAACAAAACAAAACAACAAGCAGAAGAGGGCCTTCTGGTCCCACTCTCATGACCTAGAATTAGAGGGCAGCTGCGGTAACTTAAACAACCTAATAGAACCCCAGCACCCACTTCTACAAATCCCTTGGATCTCCTAAAGGGGCAAGAGCAGAATGGGAACTTTCTGTGCTACTACACTACTCAAGAAATCCCTGCTCTGTTGCTGTACCACCAAGCACCAGGGGAAAGAACAGAGGAGGCAAAGAGTCTTCCATACTGCTTAAACTTGAGAAGACAAATTAAGAATGCCCAGGGCTTTCTTGTCACTGCCCTGATCCTAGGGAGCTTCCTATCTCAAGCTGTAGGGGGCCCAAAACATATTCAAAGTGACTAGGCAACATAGCCAAGAGAACTTATAAGCTCATAACTTTACTAGAGATGGTTAACCACTCATGACTTCTCTGTGTAAGGAAACTACAGTGATGAGGTTCTAGAATGGTAACCAGCATCTAGCTCTCTACAACCTTAGCTTATGGTTGGCCCCCAAAGAGCAATGAATCATCACCTTCTCAGACACCAATACAAACCAGTTTTCTTGGTCCAAGACCAGTTTCACTGCCCTGCCATCATACAGATCAGAGGTTCTTAACCTTTTTTGTGCCATGTACTCCTCTGGCAATCTAGTGAAGCTTATGAACCCCTTCTTAGGAAAATGTTCTAAATGTACAAAATACATGAATTTTTAAAATAGTTATCCTAACTATAAAACACTCTTTACAGAAATAAAGACAGATCTAAATAATTGGAGAAACATTAATATCTCATGAATTGGTCAAAGCAACATAATAAAAATGACAATACTATCTAAATTCATTTTCTGTACTATTCTAATTCTCAAAAGAATATTTATAGACCTATTATGATATTTTACATTTCATAGAATATTTCATTAAAATAATAATGAAATTCATATGGAAGAACAAAAATTCAATAATCTCACGTAATAATGAAAAAAAAGTGGTAATGTTGAGGATGGGGTCATCAGTATCAGATTTCAGACTACTATAAAGCTGTAATCATTAAAAAGATTTGTACTGGTCAAAAAAAAGAGAGGTCTATCAGAGGGACAGATTAGATACACAACATAGAGAAGCAAACAAACACAGCAGCACACTGTTTGATAAACCCAAAGACTCCAATTGGTGGGAGAAGAACTCACTATTTGACAAAAACTGCTGGGAAAACTGGACAGAAGCTTGGCAGAAATTAGGTTTAGACCAACACTGCACACCATACACCAAGATATGCTCCATATAGAAACCTGACCTAGATATAAAAAGTTACATCATAAACAAATTAGAGGAGCAAGGAAGAAATTACCTTTCAGATCTATGGGTAGGGCAAGAGTTCATGACTGAAACAAGTATTAAAGAGGATCACACAAGATAAAATGGACAATTTTGATTAAGTGAAATTAAAAAGTTTTTACATAATAATATCTAATATAGAAAACAAATAAGTAACTGACAAAAAAAATCTTTGCAGCAAGTTTCTGATAAAGGTCTTATATCCAAGATACATAAGAAATTGATTCAAGTTCATAAGACTAACAGCCATTTCCCAATAAATAAATGGTCAAAGGATATGAACAGGAAATTTTCAAAAGAAGAAACCAAGTTCTCAACAATTGCTCTAAATCACCAAGAATTTAATTTAAATTAAAGTAATTTTGAGTTTCCACCTCATACCTATCAGACTGGTAAAAATGACAAAAGAGTAAAATGACAAATGATAGAAGGGCTCTGGGAAAAAGTATACTTTTTATACTTTTTACCCTGCTGGTCGAGTTGTGAATTGGTCCAACTATTCTGGTAAGCAATTTGGAACTATGCCTAGAAAGTTACCAAACTGCGCATGCCCTTTGACCAGGCTATATCACTACTAGGCCTAAACCCCAACAAAATTATTTTTTTTTTAAATAGAGCAGCTCTTGTGATATCCACAAACTGAAAACTAAGGGGGTATCCTCCTATTAAAGAATAGCTAAACAAACTATGGTATATGAATGAATGGAATATTACTGTGCCATAAGAAATGATGAAATTAACAATTTCGGAGGAAACTGGAAAGATCTCTGTGAACTAATGCTGAGTGAGGTGAACAGAAATAGAATAATTTATAATAACATCATAGAGGAAAACAATTTTGAAAGGCTCTGACCAATGCAATGATAAAAGATTAGTTCAAAAGAATGTGGATAAAACAAGTCACTCACCAACAGAGAAGTGATGAACTTAAGATGCAGAGTATGATATACCTTTCTGGACAAGGCAAATGCAGCAATTTGTTTTGTTGGACTATGTAGGCTATGTATTGAGGACTTTTAAAAATTTGTAAACAATGGAGGGGTGGTGGTAGGAGAGACAGACTGATTTTTCAAATGCTCATTAATTGAAAAAATAAATGTAATGATAAACTCTATTTTAAAATTATTTTTAAAAATACAGTTATCAAAGTATTTTTAAAAAACACAGTCCATGGTCCACAGGTTAAGAACCCCTGACCTAGATGGAAGTCAAAGGCCCATCTTCCTATAAAATTGAGCCAGTGGACCTAAGGATAAAGCTGTTGAAACTGCATTATATCCTGATTGGGAAGGGATGGGGAGGAAAGGGAGGAGAAATGAATCTGACTGTTTTACTGAAGAGGGTTACAGACTCCCTCATTTAAAGCCTCACCTGTAACTTCAGGTATGAATTCCTGAGACCAGTCAGCCTCATTGTAATCTTGAGCTACGTCCACGGCATCTCCAGCTGCCAGGAACTCTTGAGCCCAGTTCTCAGATAGTGCCAGGTCGGCCACACCTGGGGCTAAGAGAAAGAGATGAATAAAAAAATCAAAGATGAAAAAAAATCAAAAAAGAAAAACAAAACTCAACAACTCAAGTTGAGTTCAACTGATAATACCATGTCTTCTGTCTCTTCCGTTACCTCAAGTCCTCTTGCCTACAACCAGCCCTTAGAAAGGGTCTTCCAGGGGCAGCAAGGTAGTGAAGTGGATATAGCACCGGCCCTGGAGTCAGGATGGCCTGAGTTCAAATATGGCCTCAGGCACATAACACTCACTAGCTGTGTGACTCTGGGCAAATCACTTAACCCCAATTGCCTCACAAGAAAGAAAGAAAAAAAGAAAGAGAGAAAGAGAGAAAGAAAGAAAGAAAGAAAGAAAGAAAGAAAGAAAGAAAGAAAGAAAGAAAGAAAGAAAGAAAGAAAGAAAGAAAGAAAGAAAGAAAG